GTGGACTTAAAGGTAGACAGACAGGAGAGAGCAGGAAGCCTATCTCTTATAAACAGGTTGTTTATAACCACTGGGGCACATCTCTGGGCAAAGTGCACTCATTGTCTCCGGCTCCCATCCTGTGGGCCGTATTTGCCTTGTCTTGTCTTTCAAGACACAGGGAAGCTCACAGATTTTGAGATACCAGGAAACCTTCCTGGAAAATATCCCTACAGGAGATTTGAGAGCTCTCCCATGATAGTAGCCTCTAATAAGTGAACCACTGAGTCCACACATTCCTTCAGGACAAAACCCTGCAAACTCCTGTTTCTGTCTTTAATATAGCAATATTGGGTTATGCAATAAAATAATGGTCTTATGAACCACATCTCATTAATTCCTCAATCATATTTTCCCAACATAACACAATTTAAATATTTTTGTTGAAAATACATTTCCAGAATACATATATATAGGTATGCACAAAGTTGGTAACTAAAAAACAAACACAAGAGACTTACAGATTATCTCCCATTTTGAGTTATCGATATTTTATTCACCCTTCCCCTTTCTACAATGACACTATGGGAACTGATTAAACTGTTTCCCTAGAAGAAAAAATTAACTGAAAATTATCTGCTTTAAATTAATATGTATTTCAACCTTGAAATCAATTTCCTAATGTAGCTACCACAAAGAATAACTAAAATTTAAAATGTTGCTTTCTATTCCACTGCCAGATTAAAGAGATACTTTTCTCCCTATTTCTCTCAACAAATACAGCTAAAAAGCTTGGACACTATATTAAAACGAATATCAGAAGATTCTGGAAGGCAGAGAGAAGACAAACCAACCAGGGACCTGGGAACTCAAAGATGGACACAGTGGTGCGTTCTATGAGCTTTCTTTTAGCCTCATATAGCCCAAACTGGGTACTCAAATGGCCAGCAACCAGAAAATACCAAGGGGCACAAAAAAGCTCCAAGACAAGCCACCCCTCTTCTAGCCAAAGGACCATGAAAGGGACAACCTAGCAAGACAAAAAGCTTTTAGACTTTAAGTGCCCTACACCAGCAAAATATCATGGATAAAAATACAGCCCAACCTCTGAAATTTTTAATCAACAGTATAGTAAGTCAAACAAAGTACATTCTCCTAAATGGTCCTGGGGTAGCCCTATTTAACAATTTCCCCACAGGACATTGAAAAGACACGCTACTCACCTTTTTCCTTATTCCTCTTATAACCATCCAAAGTTAACAAAGCCTCCCCTGCTCACATAGTGTAAGGACACCCGTGAACAGTAATAAGGTGCCTCCCTTCCTTCCTGTAGGGTCCTGTCAGCCAAAGCCCACAGGAGCCCTAAAATCCCACCTTCTCCCAGGAGTAAGGAGGTATCCCCTCCTGCCCAAAGGGGGCTGAGTGGAGAACTTGTAATTTTGCCTGCACCTGATGTTAACAAAGTGTTATCCGTCTTTCTCCAACTTCTAAAGTATCAGAGGAGGCCTGCTAAAACACAAGACTTAAACACTAGCCAAACCATGCAGGATATAATTAAAAATCACTCATCATACCAAGAGAATCAGGAAAATCTCAACTTGAATAAGAAAATACCATCAACAGACAGCAACACTGAGATGACACTAATGTTAGAATTGTCTGGCATGGATTTTTTTTTTTTTTTTTTTTTTTGAGACAGAGTCTCGCTTTTTTGCCTAGGCTAGAGTGAGTGCCGTGGCATCAGCCTAGCTCACAGCAACCTCAAACTCCTGGGCTCAAGTGATCCTCCTGCCTCAGCCTCCCGAGTAGCTGGGACTACAGGCACGAGCCACCATGCCCAGCTGATTTTTATATATATACATATTAGTTGGCCAATTAATTTCTTTCTATTTTTATGGTAGAGACGGGGTCTCGCTCAGGCTGGTTTTGAACTCCTGACCTTGAGCAATCCGCCCGCCTCGGCCTCCCAGAGTGCTAGGATTACAGGCGTGAGCCACCTCGCCTCGCCGTCTGGCATGGATTTTAAAGCAACCATGATAAAAACGCTTCACAAGCAATTATGAACATCCTTGAAACGAACAGAATATAGAGTTTCCGCAGAGAAACATAAGATAGGAACAAGAACCAAACGGAAACTTTAGAACTGAAAAAATATAATAAAATAATAAACCAAGAATTGGCTCATCAACAGAATTGAGGGGACAGAGGAAAGAAATGCTTCCCTCAGAGATGGTGCAGTAACTCATATGCTAAAGAGTATGCCTGCTTTTAGTTCAATTTGGCTATGAGACCTCTTAGTAAATTTTTCTATAATTTATTTAGCCAAGGTGATAAAATACTCCATAAGTTAGTTTACTCTTTTATCCAAACGCCATAAAAAGGAGAGACACCTATTGGTATTAAAGCAACGTCATCTGAAAAAAGTTTTCTTTGGAGGTACAGTTTCCAATAAAAGGACGAACTTTGTGAATTGAGTATTAAAGACTCAAGTCATCCTCTTAGATTTTCACTATTAATTGTAAAGCAGTAAGACAACAATGATAATGTCACTTGGCATCTATGTTGGTCTTTACTGTGAAAACTGAAAGCACTGTTACATCTGGGTCTTAGATCATTTCTCAGGTATGTTACTGCTCCCATTTATAGGCGGAAAAATTGAATTTGCAAAGATATATGGCTCACTAAAGAGAATAAGTCACTCAGTAGAAACAGACAAAAATGCAAAGGTCTCTCAGTATTCAATACAGTGCCTTTTAATAAGCACCACAATTGCAAGTATGGCTATACAAAATGTAATTAGCCTTTGGGGAGCTGGGCGCATGATATTAGTTCATTCATTCACTTAGTCATTCATCTAACAGTATTAATTGAGCACACACTACATGCCAGGTACGGCTCCAGGCGATGGGGAGCAAAGTTCCTAATTTCATGGAACTTACATTCTAGTAAGGAGAAGACAGAAAACAAACAAATCAAAATAAAATAACAGGCGAGGATAAGTGCTATGGGAAAGAAAAAAAAAAGCAAAAGGGCTAGGGAATGCTGAGTAAGTACACAGGATCTTATTTTACATGGCAAGGTCAAGGAAAGCCTTCACAAGAAGGTAGCATTTGAGCAGGTATCAGAAGGAAGCTTGGATTCAGTAGGCTTGATAAAAGTATAATTTTCAAAATGTTAATATATGACTCACATAAATTTAAACTGACTGTACATATCAAAGATTTACTCTACACACTTATTAATATATGAATCATTTATGTTAAGACTAAATGAATCAGATATTAAGAATGGTTCAAAGAGCATTTGAAGAGCTAATATCTACACAAAAAATTTAATGTAGAGTGTTAAACTTAGAAAGAGGGCTAGATTAGACACAAAATTTGTTAATGTCCTACATGGCAATAAACTATATTCTTTGAAGTTATCTTTTCTAATAGACAGTAATTATTTCTATCTCTTCCAGGAGAAAAAAACCTATAAATTAACATGTAACTTCACTATATCTGACACTTTTAGTCAATAGTAAACAGTGAGTCAAATAAAATGCATTCTCCTAAATAGTCCTGGGGTGGGCCTATTAAACAATGCACCCATAGGACATTGAAAAGACACACTGCCCACCTTTCCCCTTATTTCCAAGTTTTGTATTTTTTTAAAAACACAGCCATGAGTATATATGAAGGAACGGCATTCCAGGTAGAAAGAGTAAGAGTGAATTACAGACATATGCCTCCAATAAAGTTTGGTGTAAATAAATACCTGGTGGTGAACTGGAGAAGCTAGAAAATTTACACTGGAAAGAAAGTGGGAATTGAGATTGAGATCTGATCTGATTTACATTTTGAAAACCTGACTCTACCTGCAGAATTAAAAACTTAGTAGGGAGAGGAGCAAGGGTGGAAGTAAGAAGATCACTTAGGAGATGATTACAATGACGCAAGCAAATAAATAACTACATAGTTTGTAGGATGTAAAAGGTGCTATGGAGAAAAATAAAGCAGAATATGGTAAGGTCGGTGGAGAGATGTCAGCATTGCCTGGAAAGGCCTATCTGGTAAGGTGACACCTGAACAAAGACCTGAAGGATGTAAAAAAGAAAAACCATGCAGGTATCTGAGAAGAGTGTCATAGACATTGAGAGAAAGCAAAATGATTGAGGAGAAAGAGTCAGGGAAAAGACAGAAGAGATGTAAGAGAATGTGTGGCCTTGAAAACCATTTTAAGGACTTGGCTTTTAGAATGAGTTAGATAAGAAGCCACTGAAGGTTTTAGAGCAGAGGAGCGACATGATCAACATTAAGTTTTAATCAGATCACAGTGGCTGCAATGAATGTGAAGAATGATCTATAAGTAGGTAATGGTAAAAACAAAAAGATTAGTTAGAAGGTGCTTTAATATTCCAAGGTAGAAATAATGATGGCATAGAATAACAGGTTGAGAGCAGTGACCATGATGATAAGTGGTCAAAACCCGGATATTCTAAAGGTAGAGCCAACAAGTCTTGTGAAAAAAACAGACATGGATTAAGTACAAAAAAGGAGTAAGAGTGGGTTTCAGCCTTAACAATTAGAAAGATGGAGCTACCACTTACTAGGATGGGGAAGGCTGCAGAATAAATGGGAAGAAAATTTAGGAAGGAAAAGAAGAGGAGACACTGACTACAAACAATTTATATAAAAAGGTTAAATATCTCAGTTTGGGGTTTATAGGATTCTCAAGGTAATTCAAACGTAATTATAATAATAAAAATTAGAATGACTAGTTCTCAAAGTTCATCCATCACAGATTATTTTTTACCAAATTGCTTGAGCCTCAAACTACTAATCTTCAGGATTTCACACAGATTCATACTTTTCAAATGGCAGTCTTCATTAATTTAACCCATGTTGGTCAATGTTTTACATATTTAAGTATTTGATTCTTCATTCATAAGATATTTATTGAGCACTTTTGAAATGATATTAATAGTACATGCTTCATCAAAAAGCCTGCATTTTACATCTTAAATTCACTTGGCTTACCTGAAGTTCTTTGTATCTATCTTGAAAAGAAATGGCCTCTTGCTCTTTTTCTTTTAGAAAGTCTTTTTCTAAGACACTATGTTTTTCCATCAATGATTCCACATCCTAAAAGAAACATCCAAACACAAATTTTATAATATTTAGTAGCATAAAATAAATTTAGTTTTTTCAAGAAACATAGAAAATATTTTTCAGGGAAAGAACTCATAGGAAGTATGGTTTTAAAATCTAATAATATTAGAAATTGTATGCATCACTCTAACTTCTAGACTACTATCAAACATTGATATGACATTAAAATTACTAACTCTATAAGAATATCTCAACTAATTTCAATCAACATAATAAATCTCTATATATACTTTCTATAAATTATCTAAGGTCTTTTTATAGATATATTTTTAGGGAAGAAACATGAGGGCATAAATAATTTACTAAAATGACTATATCTAAGTACTCTTATCAACTATCCCATGGTGCCTGATTTCCCATAAGGAGAAGTCAATGTCATAAAATTTCACATATTCATGAGAAACATAATACTACCTGCTTTCAAAGTAAAAAATAAACCAAAAAGAAAATTTTAGAGGAAAAAAAAAAACCTAGTAAATGATGTTGTTCATATCTTTAAAAGTACATACGTAAAATATATTTATCAAAGGCTTTTCTAAGTGATAAGCTCATATGACTGATTTAAGTCTACAGCCAAGGGAAAACAATTATCTTCTTTCTCTGATGAGTTTTTAATCAGAACTGGGGTTATATCAAATTTCAATTTGATATGCAATTCAAACGTTTATTTCTTAGGCAAATGTAAACATACCTTCATAATTCTCTGTTTTTCTTCTTCAGATACTTTGAGTTTAATCTCCAGACTTGAAATTTTTTGCTGAAGCTGCATGTTTGATACATTGCCTCCAGGATCTTCAGAATCATCCACAAGGGCAATTGTTCCATTACTTTTTTCATCGGTTAAACCCAATGGAAAAAGTGAGATATCCAGATGAGTGTGTCTTGATTGCTGAATCTAAACCACATTAAAAAAAAAAAGAAGAAGAGGAAGAAAACACAAGAGAGGAAAGTTTACACTATACCAATAATGAAAATATCCAAAGGGCACCAGAAACCACATTTGGAAATTAACTTGTAGCAAAGGTTCCGAAATTATTTCACCCTTTAAGTAAATCAACAGAAGACCTCAAATTGTTACAACAACCTGATCTTTACTGTAAGAAACAAAATGTCCTCTTAACTTTAAAGTCTAAAGCATTTATTAATGTGCTAGCAATGCATAAAATACTTAACACTTTTTCTTATACTTGAAAATATGTGATTAAGTATAGACACATACAGTTCCTAAATTTATACACAGGCTTAAAATTTGTTTATATTTAAACTGTTAATCAAATTTTGAAATTATCCATGACCTCTATTGATCATCACTTTCTAACAAAAGTAATAGGTGACTCAATACTGTGTCCAGCACTTTGGAAACTGGGACTAACTCCAACACCTAGCACAATGCCTATCTCAGTAAGTATTTTAATGAATAAACCTTATGACTGCTATCTTTTCGGATTTTACCCTGAAATTAAAATAGGTAGTCTAATACCTGAAAACATATGGTAAGACTCCCTGAAAAGAGACACAATTTTTCTTTTTTGTAATGATTCTCCTTTTGAAGTTCAGGATTTCAAATTAAGTCAATTTTAATAGATACTTATTTGAGATACTCAAATAATATATTGGTACCTGAGGCTGCTTAAATACTTTGTCACTGTGCAACAAAACAAACATTATCTGAATTTGTTTTTGAATTCTAGGTATTAGCCTCAAAATTATAACATCTATTACAGAAATATTTCTTTTAGAAAAACAAGTTCAAAAAGAAATCAGAAAAGCATCAACTAACAAAATCAGTGGGCAATTTTTTTACATATACAAACTTCCTTTAAAAACATGTTTCTCTTTATCTATACCTTAGGAACAGTTTGACTCACAATGTTGTTGTCCGTATGTGTATCCTCTGGAGATGAAATGATGGCATCAGAAGAGAGACAGCCGACTGAAGGAGAGGAGTGGTCATGGTCCAGTACAATCTCAGGAGAAGCTGGTGAAAGATGGACTCCAGATACTAAACAACAACAACAACCAAGAAGAATAGGATTATTAAAGAGAAAACAGAGAGAGGACAGGTTGAAGGGAAGAAAGAATAAAGGAAAAGAAGGAGAAAAGGGTGAGGGAAGTAAAAGCAGTTAAGGCTGAAAATCAGGATTCTATGATTGCTCCTCTAAGACCTTTATCTGAAATCTAAAGCTAGTGTTTCTAAATTTCACATGACATTGCCATGTGAGACCCAGCAAACAAGATGGTTTTATAATGCATATTTACATACTAACATGCTGCCATCAGAACTACATTTCCAACTCAAAGAAAACATTCAATAGTCTTATAAGTTATATATTCATTTAGTTCAGAAAAATTTATTCCATTAAAAAAAGAAAGCTCTAGAGTGCCTACTAATGCCAGGTATAGGCATTAGATACTGAGGAGATAGCAGCAAGGCAGATGCAGTTATGTACTCAATGACCCAGTAGGCAAGTCAACCAATTAAACGTTTAGTACAATAAAATGAGTAAGGGAGAAGAACAATCACTTTGAAACAACTACTCCAACTGTGTCTGCATTAAGGTCTTATGTTGTAAAAATCAAAAGATTTTTTTGGGCTGGGCGCGGTAGCTCACGCCTGTAATCCTAGGCCTCTGGGAGGCCGAGGAGGGCAGGCAGATTGCCCAAGGTCAGGAGTTCGAAACCAACCTGAGCAAGAGCAAGACCCCATCTCTACTATAAATAGAAAGAAATTGGCCAACTAATATATACAGAAAAAAAATCAGCCAGGCATGGTGGTGCATGCTTGTAGTCCCAGCTCCTCAGGAGCCTGAGGCAGCAGGATTGCTTGAGCCCCGGAGTTTGAGGTTGCTGTGAGCTAGGCTGACTCCATGGCACTCACTGTAAAAAAATAAATAAATAAAAGATTTTTTGTGCCAAAATAAAGACAAATTAAGTTTGCTGAGTTATTTATCTATGAAAATAATGGGGATTTTTTTTCACAATTAGTTTTACAACACATTATCATTAGGTTGTGATTAGGGCTCCAATACAGAGGTCATGAAAGAAAAGCCAATTATCAAATATGACATAAGACAAAAATATGGATAAGGGCAAAATAAACAGGTTGTGTTTATGTTACTTTATTTTCAAATGTTCTTCCTAAAAATTCAAATAAATTTGTACTATGTGTTTTAAAATTTAAGAAGAATAACTGAGTCATTTTTTACTACCACCCCTTTATACGTTTTGACTTTCTAAATTATAAAGACCTTTATTCCACATTGGCATCAGTAGCAACGTCAGCGAAGTTCTGCCACAAATTCTGGAAGGCAGCTCACAATGGAAATTGCATTTTTTCCCTGAAGAAAGATATGTATAAGGCTATTAGGTATTAACAAACTAAAAACTATACCAATTTCTGATTGGTACTCTAAGGGATCATTTAATTATCTTATGTATTTTTATTATGAAGCAATATTGTGTTTTTGAGATATTATGTGTCACAATGTATAATTAATATAGTCCAACTTCGCCCATGGGCATTTCCACTTTTTTAATTCAAATGCAGGAGGACTGGAACTTTAATTCATGTTTGTATTTGGTATGTCTTTTCCAGAATTTTTTTTAATCTTTATTATTCTGTGTTCTAAGAGAATTGTTTAAAACATCAAAATATCCTAACTTCTAATTCTGAGTTATAATTATCACAAAAATATTACAAATGAATTTTTAAAGGTATGACAATACCTAGTGTAGCAAGAAGGAATACTGTCTTATGTTTAGGAACACAGACTCTAGAACCATATTGCCATACAAAGTATAGGACAATGGGCAAATTGCTTAACTTCCCTGTTCCTCAATTTCCTCATCTATAAAATGGGTATGGAGTTGCTGATGAGGTTTAAATTGTCTAAAATATGTAAAGCATTCAGAGCAGTGTTGATATTTTAGTATTTTAAACATTATTACTAAAGTTTATTGGACAAGTATGTCGATTTAAGGGCATGTATGTGGCTATGATTCTGGATTCAAGAAACTATTAATAGTATCATTCTGGGTTACCACCTAAATACTTTAACATATCTTTATGTCATTCATACTTATAGCTATAACTTAAGACAAGATGTCATGTTGTTCCCCAAGTTAAATTCTCATCCTATAACCTTAAATATTCAAGTGTATCATATTAGGGAAAGAAGGAGGGAGAGTGGGTAGAATACAGGAAAGGTGGGAGAGAGGGACAATGGAAAGAAAAGAGGAAAAGAAGAGGAAGAAAGGAGGAAGTTGAAGGAGGAAAGGAGGGAGGGGAAATGGAGGGACCCTGAACCTCATACTAGCTACCATCCAACACCCTAACGCCTTTACTCTTTGTAACCAAATTTCTTGAACAATTTATAATCCCATCTCCATTTTCTTCTTCCTCAACCCAATCCTCACCATTTCACTGGACCTGTTAAGATACTTGTCCTTTCAGTTACTATTAAATCAGGTGAACGCTTCTAATTTTATATTCCTTTAGTTCTTCAGAGCACATGATGCTAATGACTCTCCAGTTTTCTTGAAACTTCTCCTTTGGTGCCTGTGACACCATGGTCTCTTAGATTTCCTCCTAATATTTTAACTATTTATTTTCCTTGATTCCTTTTCAGGCTCTCCTTCCACTAAATCATAAGATTCATTGCTTCCTAAACCTTCTTATCTTCTCACTGTATATAATATTCTGGGTTATCACTTTCAAAAGCCGTTATTCAAATTACCTCCTATAAGCTAATGAGACCCAAATTCACATCTCTGGCACAAATCACTCTGCAGACCTCCAGATCCATATACTCACCTTACTACCAGACAGTTAGTTCTATTTAGCTGTCCAACAAGTACATCAATCTTACCCATCATCTTATAGAAACTTCATTTGCTTCATGTTTTCCGTATTTGTTATGAGTACCTCAATGAGCTATTTGCCCAAGCCAGAAATGATATCACTAAGTGCTAACTTCACTCCAGTCACACTGTGCTACTAACATTCCGTTATTATGCCATATTGTTCAACACCTCTGTGACCTCACAATATTATTGCTTAAGGAAAAGCCATAGGCTTTGGAATCAGAAATGGATTCAAATGTCAACAATAACAACTTACATGTTATACAGCCTTAAAAAAATTACATAAATTCCTCTAAGCTACAGTTTCCCTTTCTGAAAATGGGGAAATAATATATATACCACAAAATGCTGTTATACAGCTTAAAAGAGATAATATATACAAACAACTTAGCCCAGTGACAGGTCCCTGGTAAATATCCAGGAAACGGCAGCTGACACTGAATTTATCATTTGGCAACATTCAAGAAAAGCTTTTCCAGAAATCTTCTCACCAATACCCACTCAACCACAATATAATATAATTCTAATTTTCTACCATCTGTTAAGATACTAAACAAATCTATGGGATACATTTAAAGCAGTAATTAGAAAAGAAATCTATAGCCACATCAATCAATTAAAAAAAATCAATGAATTAAATCCCAGCCCAAACTAAAAAGGAAACAACAAAGAAAATTTTAAAAGTAGAATGAGAAAAATAATAAAGATAATGCAGACACTGAAGTATATTAACAAGGAAAAAAAGTAAATCTAATTAATCAAAATTCTGGATTTTGAAGAAAAATTAAAATAGTAGTTGACAATAAAAGGGAAATAATACAAATATAGAAGATTAAATAACAAGGAGTCTATAGCTATTAAAACAAAAGAAATTAAAAAGAAAATCATAAGACTCCTCTATAGACTTCTTAGTAAATAAAATTAAAATTTTAGAAAAATGGGTGATTCTCTACAGAAATAGTTTTAAAAAGTTGATCTGATTAGAGTTTTTTTAAAAAAAACTTTTGAAAATAGATCTATTTCCTTGAGAAAAAAATTTAAGTTATCAAGCAACTACTCTATAAATAAAGCATTAGGCTCAGATTATCTCAAGATGACTTCTACCAAAAATTTAATAATCCAAATACTCTAAAATGGAAAATGAAGGAAATTTATTCGAGGAGTACAAGGCTGGTTCACTATTACAGAATTCATTAACATAATACTCCCCATTAATACACTTAAGGAAAAAAATAATACAATTATCCCTAAGACTCTGAAATGCTTTTGATAAAATTGGATACCCATTCTGGCTAAAAACACTGAAGAAAACAGGAATTGATGGACACTTTCTTAACCTAATAAAAAATATCAACCTCAGTCTTAAAGTCAGCACCTTAATTAATGGGGAAAAATTAAATGCATTTCCTCAAAGATAAGAAACAAGACAAGGATGCCTACTATCTCTGTAGCATTTAGCATTGTCCTAAAGGCACAAGTCAATGCAATTAAACAAGAGAAATCAAATAACAGCATAAAAATAGGAAAAATGTGAAAACTACCTCATGCTTCTATCATGGGAAACCATGATAAAATTAACTCAAACAGCAAAAGCATTCAGTAAAGTAACAGGATATAAATGTAACACACAGAAACCAGTATCAGTCATATGTAAAACAATAACTACTTAGAAGATATAATGGTAGAGAAAATATTATTTTTCACTTCAACAAAGAAGATAAAATACAGTACTTAAGAATAAATTTAGCAAGAAATGTGGGTAAAATTTTACAACATTCCTGAAAAATACAAAGGTAGAACTAAATAAAGGTAAAGATATCCCTTGTAATTGGACAGGATACCTAGACATCATAAAATTCCAGTTTTCCCTTGTTTATAAGCTTAATAAAATCCCAATAAGGTTTGTTATAAAGAAGCTAGATAAATGGACATTAAATATTACGTAGAAAAAGTTAACTACCAAAACTAGGACAACACTAAAAAAGAAAAGCTCTAAGGGAAATATCAGCCCCTCTTATTAAAATACACTAAACTATATTAACTACTATTTTATTAAAATACACTATATTAAATTGAATTAAAACATACTATAAAAGCTCTATAAATAAAGCAGTGTATTATTTGGTACAGCAGTTAATAGAGCAGAAGAACATAGCAGAAAGTCAAGAAACAGATCCTAGTATGTGTGAAACAAGTATATGATAAAAGTGGCATTTCAAATTTCAGGGGCAAAGATGAGCCTGTAAATAAATAGTGCTAAGAGAATTGATTAGTTCTTTCGGAAAGATAAAACTAGATTCATATCTCATACCATAACAAAAATTAACTCCAGATAACATCGGCAATCTAAATATTTAAGAAATGAGACCATATAAGTACCAGAAGAAAACCTGGGTGAATTCTTCCTCTTTACCTGGAGTGTAAGTAAGGGTTTTCCAACTGTGGCTGCATTCCAGATATAATAAAAGAAAAGACTGACTAGTTTGACAATAGAATATACAAAACTGTTGCTGTCAAAAATTACCTTAAAGAAATACAAAAACCAACTGACAAACTAGAAAAAAGATACATGTAACATGTATCACAGGTAAGGCCTAATATACCTAATATTTAAAACCTGCACAAAAGAGATTGGAGAAATGTTAAAAAATGCATAGAATGGGCAAAAGATGTAAACAGACAATTTACCAAAATGAAAATAAATAAATGGTCCTTAAGTATATGAAAAGATGAAGATATGTAAATCTACTCATTTGTTGTAAAAGAAACACAGAAATAATAAAGCCAAAAACCAATGGGACCAATAATAGGAGATGGGGGGGGGATGAGGAGAAAAGACAGAAGATATGAATGGCAGGAAATCTCTCTTCCCTGAATATAGGCTTTAATATAGTTCTGGACTTTTAGAACTACTAATGCTTCACATATTCAACAAAAGAAATATAAAATCAACAAGCAAGGGAGTGGAGGATTGAATCCTAAAATAGAATACAAAGAGCAACAAATGAACTAAACCATACGGCAAATGAATAACCTCAACCACCCTAAACTGTGTGGTGGAGGGATAAGTTAAAAACTAACCCAAGTTACTTTGGAACATAGTATTTTGACTATATGCCCTCAGAGTAAGAACAAAAAGAGCACTAAATAAATATTGAAGAGAATAATAAGAAAAAGAAAAACAAAAAATGAGGAGAAAAAAATAATGATAATGTGGTAAAATGTTAACTTTTGAAGAAAATGGATAAAAGGTACATAGGAAATATTTGTCCGCTTCATGCAGCTTTTCTGTAAATCAAAATAAAAACTTAAAGAGGAAACAGCAAAGAGCAAATTATATAATGGAAAAGGAACAAAAGATCTAAAGAATTACTACTAAATGGAAAAATAACTGTTCTCAACAAAATCTTCCCTACGCAAAAGGGCTAAATAAAGACTTTTTACCCCTTAAAATGCTCATCAGAATTCTTCTAGC